ACACAAGGAAGGGTGGCCTCACTTTAGAACTTCCTCTCACAGTAACTAAGCCAGTTCCCAAGAGCAAGAACACACACCCATGAGTGAGGTGTTTATCCATCTTAATGACCTAGTCACCTCTTAAAGTCATCATCTCCTCTCAGCATTGTTATATTGGGGACCAAATTTCAACACAAGTTTTCGAGTGGGTAAACCCCATCTGAATCATAGCACACACTTCCTTGGGCTTGAAAGGGGTGATTTATATAGCACCCCACTTTTTAACAGTAGAGCTCTGGAAAAGGCAATAATTAGAGCATGAAAGGCCATAATTAGTTCTCTGATGCTCAGCAGAAATAAAGAATTGTACTAGACTCAAAGTCGTGTATCCAAACACAGGTGTCCTTTGGCCCCCAAGCCTAGAAGATGTCTTTATCCCTTCTTCTGCCAGCCCTAGCCTCTGGTGACATCTCAGGCAGGAACGTCCTTCACCCTACCCTGGGTCTGCCTCGGAAACTCAAACGTGACTTTACAATCTGCTTTGATAGGCCTCCCCTACCTTCCCAGGCTCTCGGGCAGGCAGGCATTTACATTGCCCCACTTTTGCAGCCACAATTCTGAACTCAGAAATATCTGCATTCAGAAACTGAACAGAAAGAGAGGGCTTCTTTGATGTAGGGGCAAGGACAGATCCTGAGGTGAGCAGGGGTTCTGACTCCTCAGTCCAAACTCCTCCAGATGCAACCCAGGGGAAGACCCAGCCTCTGTGGTCCCAATGCCCTGCAACAAAGCTCCACCAGTGCACATCTGTTGCTGGCCCCTCTGTGCCTACCCTGCAAGGTTCTAGAGCTTTAGAACCGTGGTGATTATGGCCCCTGCCTCAAGGAGCTCACTGCAAGGTATGGAACAGATGTAGGAGCAGCCAGTGGGAGGCAATGATTCCATGGATATGACTTTTCCTAATAATTAACCATCAGTGCTCTGAAGTTCAAACCCTGGATCTGCTACTACTGGCTACATTTGGGGGGCAGGGGTACCAAGGATTGAACTCAGGGGGACTCCACCACAGAGACACATCCCAAGCCCTATTTTGTATTTTATTTAGAGGGTCTCACTGAGTTGA